TTAAGAGACAAGAGAATCTTATCAAGCATATGTTAATCTTTTCCCAGTGTGAGAGAAACAGAACCCTTGAGCATTGAGTGGTTAAATATTTATTTTTTTTGATTACGTGAGAATGTGAAAAGTTTCCATCACTATTGCCTGTTGCAAAAATTTTCATTTTGTGCTCAAAAATGAAAAATCAAGATCTCTTTTGTCATTATTCTACAATCATTGAGACATCCATGCATTTGAAATTCACACATTGTTGGTTGAGTGTTTTTATAGTATAAAAGGATCACCAAGCTTCCTGGTTAGTGATTGATTAACTGCTGAACTAAGTACACGCCCTTGTTCCTCTGATCTTTGTGTTAATTTGAATGATTGAAAAGTTTTGAAAAGTTGAAAGTTGAACTGCTGTTGAGAAAAATTTTAGACTGTTGTTGATTCTGAGTAACAATGATTGGTATAATGGAATTTTTATGATTTTGGGAGAATGATTATTCTGATAAATTCATGTGCTGATTTGTTTTGTTACTTGAGGACAAGCAACAATGTAAGTTTGGGGGTGTGATAAGTCCATGAAATGTGACTTGAAACATATGGTTTTAATATGAAAATGTAAAAAAAAAAGAATACTCTTTGTGTTAATAGATACCCTAATTACATTGAGTTAAAATGTTATTGATTTAAGTGCTAATGGGCTTCAATTTTATTTTTCAGGCCCACATATTAATACTTTCCAAAGCAAAGAAGGAAGAAAAAAAATAAGAAGAAAAGAAGTGGGCTGAATTTTTTAAGGCAAGTCAGAAGAGTCCATTTGAAGAAAGAAAAGAAGAGAAAGAAAGAAGAAAGAAAGACACAACATCGTTGGACACAAATTGAAAACGCATTCTGAACCTAGCAAACCCTAACCCTCACCGTGTGAACCAACTCACTGTCATCCAACCATAACCCCAAGCTTTCCATTTTGATTTTTCTTTACAACCAAACCATCGAGCCCTAGCCCTCATCCATGGTCCCTTAAGTGAGCGTTCAACCAAAACACTGACCCTAGCCATTTTGATTCAAACAGAAAATGCCAAACATTACCCACAACTGATTGGGCGAGCTGAAGTTTGTTAGGAGTGTTGGCTGAAGCAATTTTTGGAGTGCGGTTACTGCCTTTGCAAAGGAATCGCACGATTGGAAGAAACACGTGGATGCTTGCTCTTGGTGAGAAGCCCAAAGCCCATGCATGCAAGGAAAGGGAGCTATAAAAGAGGAGGAATAATGGATGTGAGGCTCTTCTCGTCTTCTGTATTCTTCTTCTCCGTTTTCCTTTAGTTTTTTTTTTTGTGTTTTCTGGTACTGTAATAGAGCTTATTTTGTTTGGATTAGAATATGCCAGTACGGTGCTAAGGCTATTCTTGTGAATAGGACTCGTGTTGTATTTTAAGCTTTCTGCACTTTATTTTATCTGTAATTTTCATTTCATTTTTTGTTTTTATAGCTCAACCCTTATGGATATGAGCTAAACCTTTGAAGGTTGGGTCTAGGGTACCCGAAACTCAGTGATGGTTGATTGTTAATTACTATTGTTAATTTTTTATTCTTAGTTGTTTAATGCCATGCTTTGTATTTAAACATTCTGTCATTGAGGCCAGATGATAGATGTTGTGTTAGGAACAAGTCATCGGGAGGTGACTAATTCTGGAAATGCATTAAGAACATGGACTTGAATAAGAGATTATTCAAGGGCTGTCACTAAGAGATAAGGGCAGCCACCATGTAACTTTGGATTTGAAATGCATGAGTCCTTACTTCATTTAGCACAGAGATGTGTAAATGAAGGTTTGGGATAAAATGATTTTAAGAGATTAAAATCAACAAGAGTGATTCGTTAACTGTGAATTAAAAATCAAGCAATCTGTAATTAGCAGTCAGTCCAATGGTGTGGGAAAGGTAGACCAAAGCCCAACCTATTTTTCTAAACATTTTCACCAACTCAGTTTTCTTCTCCTTTGATTTTTAAATTTTTAATCATCATTCTGTTTTACATTTTATTTTTTTATATAAAAATCTTTTTACATCAGATACTTAAATTACTTTCCTACTATTTTTCATCCTTTAGCTCAAGAAATTAATTCAAAAAATTTCTAAAAAAATAGAGTAAAGTGGTGAGTGTAATTTTAAATTAGTTTTGGTTTTATGATTCTTTTCTGAAATTCAGTTTAAGCACTTGCACTTTGTGTTTTTGAAATTTTCGCCAAAAGATCCTTGTGGGAACGATGACTGAGACTCAAACAAGCCATATATTACTTGTTGTCGCTTATACTTGCACACATACTTGCATAACTATTAGCAAGACAACAGTGATAATGGGAGGAGGTGGTGGTGAAGGTGGCAATGGGTGCAGGTGGTGGCGATTACATCGTTGTGGTGGTGGTGGTAGTGATGGTAGCGGTGGCATTGTGTGGTGGTGGTTGTGATAACGACATTGGTGGTGCAACGACAGTGGTGGTGATGGTTGTGTCGGGATGATGGTGGTGGTGATGATGATAATGATGATAGTGGTGGAAAGTGATTGAGAGAAATAAGTGTTTCTTATTTTATGCTCGAGAACAAATAAATATAAATTTTTTGATTTTTTTTTCTGTTCCCTAACACAATTCTGAATTACAATTCTGAATTACCTGATGCTATTATCTTTGATCAGGCTCCTAGCTCGCTGAAGCTTCTTCTCCGGATGAATGTGGCCGACATTTCTCATCCTTAGAAAGGCAGAAAGGCAAGGGCTAGTCTTTTATTTACTTTAGTCGTTCTTTAATTGTTGTTTCTGCTATTTTTCCAAAAATGAGCCATCCCTGCTAAGAATTCGCCAAGCAAGAAAAGTTTTAGGATTATTAAATTCGAGGGCCGTACTAAGGATTAGGTTTCACGGTGTGGCTCACTTGTTGAATAAAATATAACTTCACCAAGGAATTTTTACATCAGGAGAAGACAAAATTGGTCGTTCCTTGAAATCAATTTTAAATTGGGCTATATATAATTCGGTGAACCATATATGATGAACTGATTTAATTGAGAAAAGACTCTTTTGTAGTAATTTTTTTATATACAACGAAATAAAGTAGTAATATTATTTTAAACTGAATAGTAAAAGATATTTTTATTTAATTTGGAGTGCATTATGATTTTAATTTATTAAAGTTTGAAGATGAATATATGTTGTTTACTTAATTTAAAAACAAACTAACTTCAAAAGATAGAGTTTTCTAAATCAAGGCTAATTTGTTTATAGTTAATCAACATTTTTTCATCCTTCCTTCTATATTCGGGTCATCACTCACCGGTAACAAATTTGACAATAACGACCTGCACTTTTAATCTTTTGTTGTTAATTTCAAGTTAGTTTCATTTTATTTAATTTAATATCAATTTTATTTCATTTGATATTAAGTTTGTTTTATGATTATTTGGTTTGATTTAGAGTAGATTTTAAAGTGACAAGTCATAGAACAAAATTGTAAAGAAAAAGTATAAAAACTAAGGAAGAAAATCAATGAGTTTTTGCAATTATAGTATATTTCAAGATTATAACAGTCTTTATCATTAGAATTTTTTAATTTTTCAACTTCAAATGACATCGTTTTGAGAGTGAATATAGATAATTTACCTGCATTCAATGAAACATTAAAGCCAAAAACTAATTTAATCCTCAAATCTAAGTTTGGAAGTTCTTGTGGTATAAACTCCGAATACTCTCTAAAATTTCCTTTCCCTTATTTTGTTTTTTTATTCGTAAGGAGCATAAAATAACTTGTTAAATAATTTTCTAAGTATACTGTGGGCTTAATTAATTATTAGGTCCACTTCTAAAATAGGTTTGAATTATACGGGCCAGTTTAACACATGTTATTCTGGATTGATCTTTTTACTCGAGATAAGTCTCATCCTATCTATTGTGGAAGTGGATTGGTGTTATGAATGTATTATAAGTACATTATGGAAAGGTCCTTACAACTAAGTTCTCGCTCTAACCTTTCTACCACAAAGAAAGGCATTCCAAGAAGAGATGAGAAGTTGTAGAAAAGTTCTTTCAAAGTGTTCATCTTAAGTTTATTTTTTACCTAAGATCAAGATCCAAAGGTTAGTAAGTCATATCTTTTCTTCCTTAGATTATATTGCATGATGGTGTTCTATGTATTGTATGATTTAGATCATAAGATTACTCTGACAATTGGTATAACCTTTCATATATATCTAGAATTAGGGATGTTCGCGGTCTGGATTTGATCGATTTTGGAAGCAAAAACTATTCGATCCAATCCTTTCGGTTTGACCATATAATCATCCATTCGGTTTGGAATTTTTTTCAAATCTGATCCAATCCAATTCAATTTTTTTCGGTTTGAATTGGATTGATTTTTGGTTTTTTGAAAATCCTAAAATTTGTTTCATGCAGATAACATCTTTTATATATATATTGACTTTGTAAAAAAAAATTGAAATACAAAAGCATCAATAAACGATAATATAGTTTTTTTTGAGGCAATGAGAAATGAAGCTCTACGCAGATGAAATTTTGTTGATGAGATGTGACTTGGTTTTTACTTAGGTTTAGTTGAGGGGTTAATGGTCTTGGATTTAGAAATTTTTGGATTATGATTGGAGAAAGACCAAAGTAAGTAGAGATTAATATATTGAATCAGTTTGGATTGGATAGGTTTTCATTCAGCAATCCGAAAACCGATCCAATCCAATTAAAAGTTGCAGTTTTTTTTCGGTTTTCGATTTTTCGGTTATCGATTTTTCAGTTTGGTCACCGCGGTTTGAATCGGTTGATGAACACTCCTACCTAGAATCAATCATACAGATGTAAATATTTATTTTTAAAAATGCATAAATTTTCCCTCAAATTTCATATTTTTAAAATAGAGATAAATATTTTTCATTATATCGAAAAAATTTACTTCACCATTTTTAGAAAATAAAGATATCACGTTGTATCCCTTGATAGGACGAAGATGTTGGTTGGTTGTTCACCATACACCACCTAAAAGTGCCGGAGGCATCCTCCTCATGCCTTTGGAATTTGGCTGATTCTGAAAACAAATTCCCAAAACTAAACTAGAGACAATTTCTTTTTTTCTATAAGTTGGGAGAGGATTCGCTTACCACCAAAAAAGTTTACAACTCTTACAACCAATTTAATCACCGTTGGTTTTCATCAATCTTCGTTACATTTTAAAAGTAAATATACCACAACGTAAAGCTCTAAGAGACGAGTCTTTTGATGGGTTGAAAATGGTCGGAGGCTACCAGACACGCCGCCACACTCTGGCGGAATCCGGCAGCCACATTGGCAAAATAAAATTTTGACAACCCTAATATATTTCATATATATATATAATATACATGTTCTATGGAAAAGGTCCTTAACCATTCAAACAAGTAATATAAAGAGGAAGCAATTCATACGATTGATACAATTCTCTCTCTCTCTGTGTATCTATATATAGAGAAAAGTCCTAGTGACTTTGCAAAATCCAGTATTTATCCCTCTTAATCTATAACTTCATGATCCTTGAAGCAACCTTCGATCGTACCCTTTAATTTACCTCGGTACCAAACAAAGCTTCAATGATGTCCATATCCCAATCCTGCATTAAAATTAGTGTAAAATTTTTATATTTAAAAAAATTTCAAATTCATTTCAATAACATGAACATTTTTTAGTAAATTGACTTGCCAGCTCAGAAGTTGAGTTAATTGCTGAAGAAACATTGTCCACTAAGAACCTATCAAAGTGTTCCCAGTCCCCAGATTCCTCATTGCCTTGCATCTAGATATCAAGAAATTGGGTTATATGGGTGATTCAAACGTAAATCTTTTTTGTTGTGTTATTAAAACCCTTTTGAAATATTGTATTATGTTATATTCACCAATAGAAACTATTCTGCACACAAATGATGTAGATAAAAACTATAAAAGAATTTGTTTATTTGTTAGAGGAAGCATTGTAAGCACTTACTCAAACTAAAAAGTGTGGTAACCACTTAGACTTACCTGATTAGAATTTTTGTCAGAGCTTGTTGAAGACTCGTTTGGAAAGTTTAATGTGTCTTTAGTTGGCAACACAATGACATCATCACCAGCTCTACTATTAGACTATTGCAATGAGGATATTGAGTCAAATTATGGTCAGTGAGAGACATAAACATAACTTAATGCAGTTGAAAAAAAAAACAGCAGAAAATTGCTTGGGTGATGTCTCATACTTTATTTAATTCACTAAATTCATTCGTGAACACAGGCCATGTAAAAAATAAGGGTTAAAGACTCCTCATGTTACATAAAAAGAATTTTTTCTCCTACACACATAATAAATATGTGAATTTCACTGAAATTTTTTTCTCTTTCCTCTTTTTAATGGAATCCACATGTTTATTGTGTGTAGAAAAATATATTCTTCTCATGTAAGATAAGAAGTCTTTAACCAAAAAATAATACATGAAATGACATAGGTAACAAATGTACCTGCTCAAATGATTGCACAACCTGACTAGAGCTAGAAAAGTCAAAATTTAAAAATTCACTTGCATCAAGGTTCTCTTCTGTCTGATTTAAGACAACAAAAAAAGTCAGGACTAAAATGGAAATATAACATTGAAAAACTGGATCATACAAATGTATATAATATTTGATAAAATATATATATATATATATATATATATATATATATATATATATATATATATGCATGCATACCTCATTATTAAGAAGTTGCATATCATCTACCATCAAGAAAAGCTCAGAAAGATCGTCTTCCAGTTGGCTGCTGATGATCTCACATATTGAAGTGGCATTATATTTATGCTCATTTTCTACAACATTGTCATCTAGTTGCTGAGGTAATTGTGGGATCGCTGGAATATTTTCTTCTCGAGTTCCATTAGTCATCAATGTTGTTGGAAGCTCACTTATAAAACCATTCCCAACATTAGAACCAGAAGTAGAAGCAAGCCCTCTTTGTACCAAACCAAAATTTACATTCCCCAAGTTTGCTACATCCATATTTGCATTTTGAGTCTCATTAATCAAGCCAAAACTATCATTGTTCCCAGTCCCAACAGTTTTTGATCCACCATTCAGTTGAACTACAGAGGAGTTACTGCTAGGATAAGAAGTACAAGTCGAGGGCAGATTAGAGGTGCTCAAAGATCCCATGTTGTAATTTCCTAGACCATAGCTAAATTTCTTAGTTCCCAATGAATCATAATTTTGGTACATTTGGTCACCATATCTCAAACCTCTTCTTGTGAGGCCATTTGTTGAAGTCGTCATGCAATGTCCCATTCCATATGTAGGAAACATAGCACCTGCATTATTGAATGAACTGTTTGCTTGATAAGGTGGGTTTGCATAGCATCCCAACATTTTTGGCTTGACATTATTTGTCCCAATATTGCTTCCAAACCTTGACCTTAGTGTCCTCTCAGATAAGCCCTCAATTATTCCTCTCTCTGCAACTTTTCTCAGGAAAATGCGATACTTCTGCAAGTGTTATATGCACACTTAAACGTAAGAACTTAGCATATTTAATTGTCTTTCAATTATTTCAATGTAATTATAAAAATAAGGGAACAAAGAAATAGAGAATTAGGGAGATTCCATCATATTATATAGATATATTAAGTTAATTAAGAAGCAAACCTGCAAGTGACTGGCAATATTTTCTCTTGTCAAGTTTGGCACATTCATGATTTCGAGAATTTTCTTTGGCACGGCCCCTATGAGTCAAAAGGCAATCACATGAATTAAAAATCTACATATACAAAAAACAAACACAAATCTATAAAATCTGAAAACCCAAAATTTGCAACAGATTACTTACTGTCAAATCCAATTTGTTTTATGGCAAGCAGAAACAGATTGTGAAGGTATGTTGTCCAAACAATCTTTGGTTTCTTTGGAATAGGAGAGGAGCTCTCTTCCTTGTTCGTTTGAGTTCTCTTTCTCTTACTATACTTTCTTTTTCTCTTAGGCTCAGTCAATGATGATATTGCAACATCCTGAGAGATAATATTTTCACATGGTGACTCTCTTTCTCTTCTTCTCAATTCATTTTCAATGAATATTTTCTCTTTCCTTGCTGCAATGGCATACTTCCAAATGTCTTTGAAATCATTTGCACAAATGGGTTTCAAAATATAATGTGCTGCACCATTTTCTAAACTCTTGGACATTACACTCTTTCTCCTGTCTGCAGACATCACTGCATCAAACAAAACAGACAAAGGTCAAATACTACATCACAAGATTTTGCACAAATATATTTCTATCACATTTCCAATACACTTAAATCACAGAGAATTAACCACAAGCACTTCACAACTTGTACCAAACTATAATTAATATAGTGAGTGTTGGGACATCGGTCCCTCAAATCAACGCGGAAGCAAATTTGCAAGTCTGTACGTCGAGGTCAAATATATCTTCTTAGTAACTACATCAACACCAATAGTTTATAGAAGTAACACTTAAAACACAGTCTCATACCAATTAAGTATCAGAATATATCTTCTCATATGTCATTTATAACATGATTTTATCATGTGAGACTATTTCAACCATATATGGACAAATATCTCAAATTAACGGTTATCATTTTGTTACTTTTTATTCCAATATTTTTTCTCTTTTATCTCTTATCATCCATTAATAGTTAAAATAATCTCACAGAATATTGTCATGTTAAATAACATGTAAAATGATATATTACCAAAAAAAGAAAAAATTAAAAGTGAGATCAAATAAATAACTTAAGGAATACTTAGATATAATATCAATGACATTCAAAACTTGCCTACAATCATATTAAAGGTTTCGGTGTCACTAGCAACCACAAGACGGTCTACAGCTATGAAGCACCGACACTTCTCGAAACTCTCGGACATTCCCCGACACTCCAACACGCATTATAGAAATTCAAAAAGGTTTAGAGGTTGCGTTGCGTTGAGTTTTTAGTTCCAACTATTAGATTCGTTGGATTACGATTACCATTTTATTGAATTTAATATAAATATTTGAGATATCTTATGTTTCTTTTCAAAACTTATGAATATTATAAGTTTAGATTTATTTTTTTGCTAAATTAATGAATATTAGATATAATATACACTACATAAATTAAAAATATTATTTAATATCAAGACGTGTCCTAACGTGTCGAAATCTAATATTTTTTAGAATTAACGTGTCGGAGTGTCGTATCGTGTCGTGTCCCGTATCAGTATCGGTGCTACATAAGTCTACATGATATCCGTAATGTAATAAACTAATAACCATATAGTTTCAAAAAAAAAAAAATGTAATAACCACAAGACAGGAGTACGGGATATCAATTAATCGTGATTGATATTAATTGGGATTAAAACGATTAGATAGTATCCCAAAGACCGTATATATTGTGGTTCTACAATGTCACATGGGATTCAAGTAACAAGTTAAATAACACTTTTAAAAATTGATATAAAAAATTGTTAGAGGATAAAAACGTATGTTTTTTTTTCTTTTTATGTTTTCAGTTACAGTAAAAATAGACATAGCAAAACTTGCTTTGACAAATAACTTGAACAGAGGAATTTAATGGTTTTTTTAAAACTTTATTATTTGATTAAAAAACCCGATCTTTGAGAAAAAATTAAACCTATTTTTTAAGTTTAACCAAAATATCTATGTACATCAACTGAACTACAGAACAACTACACAGCAAACGGAACAATTAAGCTAACAAATTTGAAAGTAACTTAAAATTTTACCACTAAATATGTGGATCAACTAGTGCGGATTATTCCAGTGTAATTAGTAGTTTTGAGTTGAAATCCTGGGTGTTCAGTTCCTTTGTGATCCTGCTATGCTCAAATTCGGATTGGATACCAGATAGTTTATATCAAAAAAATTCGATGACAAATTTTTTTTCAATTTTTCTTAGAGAAAAAACTAAGTGTACAAAACCGTAGAAATACAATTGTCCATGAGCAAAACAAAATAAACCAAAATAAGAAAATAAAAAAGTAGGAGACTAGAGATTGGATTACATAGTAAAGAAAAAAAATATTGTTTGAAATTTGATTTAGATTTGGACTATATAAAAGCAAGGGATACACACATCTTGCTTTATATATGGTTACAAAAAAATAAAAATAAAAAATTACCGATGAAAAAACGGGAAGACAATCTCAAGGATCAGCTCAAAAGGGGGAGACGTGAGAATCAAGTTCCTAATTTATAGTCTAGAATTCAAGAAACTCTTTCTAATTACGGATTATGTGGGAAAAAAAAAACTATGTGTTTAGACACTCATCAATATTAATCATGCTTATTGAATATCTTGTGAGATTTTCTACACATATACTAGGAGTGAATATATATTAGTATGCAAGTTTCATTCAAGGAGTCATGTTAATGAAATTCAAAACAAGGGATGACTGTTTGCAATGACCCATAGTTAGACAACAAAAAATTATCTTTAAGCCTAACTTATATATATTTAAAAAATGATCTGAATCTATAAAATTCCAATGGGAAAAAAAACTGCGGCTATACAATTGTTGAATTAATAAACACACACACACACGTACCTTTATATTCCCATGAGATGAGTACATTAGCAACGATGGCCAGAGAAGTTTCATCATCATCCACAACCAAAATAGAGATATCAACTCTCTCACAAGCCATTTTCAGTGTGTGAGTGTGTGTTTTTTTATCCTGTTTTGTTTTGTTTTTGACTAAGTAGACTCAGGTGAGCACTTGTATGAAGGGTTCTTTCCTCTATCAAACGGTGAGAACAAACTTCTTATATATGTGTTACTCCAATTTTTCAAGTAAGGAGACAAGAAAAGTAGAGGGATTCAGGTTTCTTTTTGCTAGAATTTATCCCTTATTTTGTCTGATTCGCATTTATCATGAAATTTTAAATTTTAAATTTTATTCAAGTTCTCTTTTGGAATAGTATACAATATGTAAGATATTCAATTCCAACTAATTAATGGAAAAAATCTTGAATGAAAAAGTTAAAATTAATTGCATTCTGCCAAAAACATAGTGGCTTTATAGGGGGTTCCTTGTTTAGAAGATTTGATAATCTTTCGTTCATACTGTCCATTTAAAAGTTAGTCATTTTTAAACTAAAAATTTGTGTTATCAAAAAAAAAAAAAACTAAAAATTTGAAAATATTTTGAAATTGACTCGTTAGAGGTAAATTATAAAATGGTCTAACCGTATTACTTTATATTTATGAAAAATGATTTTACCACAAAGAATGTAAAATATTCTAGAAAAAAAAAAAACAAAGGTATAAGCTTTCTGATTTTATTTTTGACATATTGAAGACCTTAGTAGATTTATGGTTATTGAAGGTTATGAATAACATATATTTTGATCCACTATATTTTGTTTCAGCTTGAATGTAGTAATGTATTAATTAATGACAAAGTTACATAGTATCATCCAAAATTCTAAAAATTTTGCTTAATGCAATCTAGGATAATGTTCAATTTATTTAGTTAGTGCTCTTCTTGATTCTTCTCTAATTCATCCAAATTCAGAAACGAAAAACAGATGAAAATATTGCTTTGTTCACTCTTGATAGTAATGTTAACTGCTTGATATAATCTATTAAAAAAAATGCTAGAAACATAACATTTAAGAATGTTATGGAAACAATAAATGAGTGATGATAGCAAGAAGACAATACAAAATATGATGATTAACAATGATATTATTGTTTAATTACCAAAAAAATGATATCACTGTTTGTCAAATAATCATTTTATTTAAATTAACAGCATGCCTTGTCTACTTTATTTCTTCAGACCATTTCTTACAACATTATACGTTCGAAATTCCTCGAAAAACATACATAAAAAATATTATCAAAAATCGAAAAAAAGAGCAAAGGAGTGAACCTCAAAATGAACAAAAATTTGAAAACTAAAATATTTTATTTTTATTTGATCGATGGAATCAAATTTTCTATCTCATTTTCTTGTCCAATAGATCAAAATTTTCAACTAATAAAACAAAATACATCTTAATCTTAGATAAAAGTAAATTATCTCTTATTGGGTAGTTTTCTTGTAGTTGCCATAGAGTAATATGTGAAAGTAACTGGCCTTGAAGGCCGAAGCATGTGAGAAGGAAAAATAAAAAATTTTCTTACGAAAACACACATGCAATAAAGACTCTTGCTTTAAGACAGCATGATGTTACCTTTGTTTGTGATTCTAAACCACCAAGGAGGTCAGTGTCAGGTTTGAAGGGTTCAAACCCTCTAACGTTGATCCACACCACCCACGCCAAGATGCAAGAACACTTTCTTGAAAGCCACCAATTGACCACCACGAGGAGGCTTTGCTATGCGCTCAATAGGTGAAGAAGGAGGGTTGGTGAATGTGTTTAGAAGAGTGATATTTTCAGCGTAAAATATCACAAAAGTGGCGCATGGAATAAAGGAGAATTGGCTAGGTATTTTTCTGAAAAACCTAAGGAAGAACTCCACCAAAGTTAGCGCTCAAGAGGATGAGAGAAAGAGCTTTTATAAATCCAGATTTTTCTCCAAAAATCTGACTTAAAGTGGTGCACAATCAAGGGAGATAAATTCAGATTTTTTTCTCTCCAAAAATCTGCCTTAAAGTGGCGCACAATCAAGGGAGAAAAAGGTGGAGTTGTTTTAATTCAAAATTCTAAACAACCTTCCTTTTTCATCCTCATGAGATTAGGTCTTAACCTAATCAAATATTCTGACTTAATGGCCATCATATAGCCAGCCATATGTGCGCCCCATTCAGCCCAAGAAACTGTCCAGATACGTTGAGTAGTTGCATTCATATTTGAATCAACTCACTCACTTATTCTCTCATCACATCAAATCAGATTTGAGCTTATCTGGTTGACAAGATGACACTCATCACAACCCATAATGGCGCCCCAAATCAGCCTTGAATGAGATCAAAGATCTCCTCTTGATACTAGGGATTTGTTCCAATCAAGATCTTATCTTACCTTTTGTTATGAAACAATTTTTCATAGCCAATTTAAATTCGAATTTAAGCATTTAAATTCAAACGCTCAAACATTTAAATTCAAAATTCAAATTCTAAATTTAAACTCTAAATTCAAAATTCAAATTCAAATTTCAAATTCAAAATTCGAATTTCAAAATTCAAATTCAAATTTCAAATTCAAAATTCAAAATTTAAATATTTGATAATTAATTTAACTAATTAAATTAATTAATAATGTCTTGGACCATCCAAGCCCATTAACCATACCATGCGCCCTCTTCTTCTTAGGAGGGCTTCCAAACTTCTTCTTGGGCTAACAACCATTATTAGGCCCAATATCTTTAATGCTATATCATCTTGATAATAAGGTGTTAGTGTGTGACCCATTAGGCCCAACATAGCCACTGACATAAATGGGCTTGAACCCAACAAGCCCACAACTCATCTAATAACAACACAGAGCACTAGCAATGCTTTGTTGCCCCAGAGCTAGTTAGATTAATAATTTGATCATCCTATTAAACATATTTGGTTACCGTATATATTTCCTTTCGTCTCGGTTACCTTCCCATTAAACCTAGGGGAAGGAAACGTATCAACCCTTGCGGTTTAGGATAAGCTTTATTCGAAATAGGGAATCTTCAATTTACTGACTCTAAAGGCAGATCATCTCATGATCTCTTTTACTATGCATAGATTCCCGAGTCCCTGAAATGTCATCCCGATTTCTCCGATTTACAGATAACCTAATCTCTCACAGAGATTTGACGAATTCCTTCAGCTTATCACCCTAGCCCTGTGCTCTTTCAGGACAAGCCTAACAATGTAGCTATGAGTCTCCATGTTTCAGGAAGACGAGGTATACAGTCAAAACGTGCCTTCTAGAGCACAGTCTAGGTAATAACTTCTGGTCTAAGGAAAGACATACCCAAATATAAAGAGACTACTCTAATGATACTCTCTGTGAGTTTTCCTCATAGAGTCTCTTTGTGGGTCTGTTCAGTGCGAGCTATACCCTTATAGGTCCACCCACGACTTTAGCTAAGACATATATCTGTAGCACATGAGGTCTTTACCTTGTATTCGTATACAAGTAAATAAGTCGTGCTAGTCTTACCCGAGATCACTGATCACCATTCTCAGTGTCTCTAGACTAAGAACATAAAATTAGGAATAAACGTTCAATATCCTTGAATTCTCATGATCGTGATCTCATCACTGATACTCAAGAGATACCTATTTTTATTCCAAGGGGTTTATCCAGTTACTCATATAAAATATTAACAATAATATTGAGACAAAATATGAAAGAGGATAAAGAGTGTTTTTATTTATTTGTGACAATATAAAAGGTCCACATATATCCTAATATAATCAAGAGATTGTCTCTAGGACATCCATATACTAACAATATGTTGTGCTACTACTATAGAAATTTCAGAGTTGAACAAAAAAATGACCCACCTCTTTAATTACTTTCCAAAACAGCCCAATCTTGCTGATCATTTTAAAAGTAATAAATGTGAATTTATAATATTGAATTTCCCTAACAAGTGTTTTAATTAAGGTTATTACCCAAAAAGCATTTAATACCCTCTATAAAATATTTTAAAAATCTCAATATAGTAAGTATTTTACTTTTTATTTAATACTTTCTATTTTTTATTTATTTAACCGTGCTCTAAAGGGATCTGGATCCTCTAATGTGAAAATTCACATGACCATGTAATGTGGAGAATCATAACCATACAAAGGTGGATCAATGGTAAAAAAAGGAGGAGAGAAAAAAAATTATAAAATAAATAGTTACGAAATCATAACCGTTGATTTACCTTTGTATGGTTGTGATCTTCCCACATGACGATATCATGTTTTTTTGGCACATTAAAGGATCCATTTCCCCTCTAAAGTCTAAAGTACTCCTCGACAAATCTTTAAAATATTTTGTCAGAAAATCCAATCCTACGGACATTAATCTTTTTGGCAAAAGGCTGAACACAACACACTTTATATACATTTCCAAATATGCATTCGAAAACCACTGCTACTCACGTCAACAGTTTTGTACAAAACCACCTTGATTTATTGAAAAAGATTTATTTTCTTATTCTCATAGTGTAAAAAATTGTATACTATCAATTATTTATCTTCAAATTATTAAAAGAATTTGACCATGACAAAAATATCTAAAAGTGAAAAAGATTTTAGTACTAGCTAATACTGAAAGTGAAAACTCAATATATCATTTAAAGTAACTCAGTTAATTATATTACAAAAAAAAAAAAAAAAAAACTCAGTTAATTATGTTTATTTTATCCATTTTATATTTAATATTATATGAGTCTCATTTTTCTTAACAGTATATACTTTCATAACAGTGAAGATATTCTCCTAAAAGTGATTAGATTATATCATATGAGTCTCATTCATTTTTTTAATTCTGAAATTTCATAATTGCATGTTCTTAATTGTTTTTAATTTTAAGTTCTTTGAACAACAATTCTCTTCATCTAAATTCACCATTCTCTCAAACCAAACCTTTGATTGTCCAACTAAAACACAATTAGCGAACTAGTGCTTGAAAATTCTGATCCTCGTGGGAACGATCTCGTACTCCGGTACACTTTATTACTTTCACGATCGGTGCACTTGCCGTGTCGCTATCACCCATC